TTTTTTTTTTTTTTTTTTTTTTTTTTTTTAGGAAGAATGACAGTGAGTTAAGTTTCTTAAGAACCAAGAGTAATTGCCATTATTTCTGGATAAAGCTGCCTACTGTCAGACACCTTTATTATATTCACTATATATTCAGAGTTGTGGGACTAGCCATCTGTATTTATGGCTATTCTTCAGAACAACCTTTATATGTGTTGCTATGATTTTGCAAGCACTTTGAGGTTATTCACCGAAGGTCATGATAACAGGGGAGGTGGTATTCAAAATAAGATCTAGTTTTTGCCTTTCCATTCTATGTGCATCTGTGCAAACAGAAAGACATGAATGTTTTTTATCTTCTTTTGAACTGTTGCTAATATACTGAATGGATTATTGTGTAGAAAATAAGAACATAAAATCAATTTTAACAGCTTACAGCCTTTTTCCATTATAGGGACTCTGAGATCATGCAACAAAAGCAGAAGGCATCTAATGAGAAGAAATCCATGCAGACAAGAGAAAAATGATTTGGAAAACCTGAGTGCTACTGCCAACTGGGTGGATCATAAGCTCTAACATTGAGATTTTGTAGAGTGAACAGTCACTACGTATAACCTATCCTTATAAAACTGTCTATTTTAAACTTTACCTTTCAGCCTGATTTAGTGTGATGTTTTAGAACCATTCTTTGAAGAATAAAACTCTAGCCATGCATGTAACAATCTGATGAACATTATTTTATTTATTTATTCATTTATTTTAATTTGATCAGAGAGAAATACACAAAGAGAGTAAGAGCGAGAGGGAAAGTGAGAAAGCAAGCCACCAGGTTCATTTGAACTATGGTTGCCCATGTGGGATTGTCCAGCACCTTAACCACCACGCCACCTGCTGGTTCCATGAACATTATTTTTTATAAGCAGTGAACATTGATATAATTTATTAGATAGGTAATATGATCATAGAATCTCTTTTTTAAATTACTTATTTCATTCCATTTATTATTATTTTTTTAATTTGACCCGAAAGAGACAGAGAGAAAGGGAAAGTGAGAAAGCCAGCTACCAGGTCTGGGATTCAAACCATGGTTGGCCATGTGGGAATCCAGCACCTTTAACCACCACGCCACCTGCTGGCCCAGCTAATAGAATCTCTTATATAAATTGAGAATTTTTTTAAAAAATAATTATTTTATTTAATTTTATTTATTCATTCATTTATTTTAATTTGACCAGAGAGAGAAAGCAAGCCGCCAGATCCAGGACTTGAACCATGGTCAGCCATGTGGGAGTGTACAACACCTTAACCACCATGCCACCTGCTGGTCCCATAAATTGAGAATCTTAAAAAAGAAAAGTCATAAACTGGGGCCAGCAGATGGTCTAGAGGTTAAAGTGTTGGATCTACATGGCCGACAGCACAATTCCAGTCCTGGACCTGACAGCTCGAGAATTCTGGGTGTGTGTGTGTGTGTGTGTGTGTGTGTCAAAAATCTCAAGACAGGGAACCAGCAGGTGGCATAGTGATTAAGGTGCTAGACATTCCCACGTGGTTGACCATGGTTTGAGTCCCAGACCTGCTAGCTTGATTTATCACTTTCTCACTTTCTGTCTCTCTCTCTGGTCAACTTAAAAATAAGTGAATACAGAACAAAATTAAAATAAATCTTTTTTTTTTTTTTAGAGGTTTTTGCTATAGGGCACGTGCATTTGCCAGAGAAACAGAGACACAGAGACAGAAAGCGAGAAATCACCCCCTGCAGGGGGAATGGCCATACCACAATCCCTTCTCCTCCATTCTCCTTTCAGGATATTGGGCACACACGAACACGTGCTCAGCATGAGTTTAAGCCACCAGGTTCGGGACTCGAACTGCAGTTGACTACATGGGAGTCCAGAGACATAGCCATTACACTAACTGCTGGTCCCTAAAACTAAGAACATTTATTAAACTTCCTCCTACAACTTATCTGCTACCAAGCTTGCTATATTGGTAATTATGTATTGGAATATAAAATTCCAACAATGTTTTCCTTGCACATTCACTTAAAAACAACAAAAAAATCGTAGTACTAATTATCTCATGTATGTTAGACATTCATAGGTAGCCTGCTATTGCCTGGTAAAACTGAGATTTTTCTAATCTGATTATAACATGACTTTCATATGAATATTTTCCAGGCCATATATGACTATTGCTACTTGACCAGTTGTTGACTTTGCATAATGATACATGAGTGCTAGCTAGGGCCAGCACACACAAACCGGGTATGTATATATATATATATATAATTTTAAAAAATTGTATTTACTTAGAAGCATTCAGAATGTCAACAGCTGCAACTTTTTTTTTTTTTTTTCAATTACAGAGTGGTATTCAGTTAACAGAACAACAATTATTTCGTACAAGCTGCATCAGAGACAACTAAAGATGAAAAAACTACCATCCCCATATATAACCAATTTGTTCTGGGCACCAACAAGAACCTGATTTTAATTTCCATGCCAACTGGGTCCAGGTTGGACTACATGGGAGTCCAGCAACATAGCCATTAGGCCAACTGCAGGTCCCCCTTTTTCTGTTTAGAAGTGTGGGACCAGCAGATGGTCTAATGGTTATGTCACTGGACTTCCACATAGTCGAACATAGTTCGAATCCTGGACCTAGTGGCTTGAAACTCATGCAGGGCTGGTGTGCATGTGTGCCCCAAATCCTGAGAGAATGGAGGATAAGGGATTATGGGATGGCCATGCCCTCTGGGGGTGATTTCTACCCCTCTGGGAGTGATTTCTTGCGCTCAGTCTCTCCAGCAATCGCAGGCACCCTACAGCAAAAATCTCTCATTAAAAAAAAAATAAAAAGTGCTAGAAGGCCGGCTCACTGGAGAGAGGGACAGAAAGATATATAGAGACTGAAAGGGCAAGCAAGAAATCACCACCACCACTACACCCCACACCCTTCACGGATATGGCTGCACGACATTCCCTTCTCCACTCTACTGCATTTGGGCACCAGCGCACAGGAGCCTGGCTGTCACCGGGCCAGGTCGGATATGGGATCCAGCCATCTTAACCACTACGCCATCCGCGGAACCAACTTACCCCAATTTTCTAAAGCTCTTGCAATTAACGTTCTTTGCTAAGAAAGTGTACAACTTACAGAAAACTCCCTGGTGGAATCATTTTACAAAAATACAACCAAGTATAATCAAAGGATTGAGAGAAAGAGATGCGAAAGCAAAACCCACGTGACCAAGTAGAGAGGGCGGTAACCACAAACAGAAAACGAGTGGAATCCTTCGGAACGCCCTCCGGGCCACCGTGCTCTTCCGCTCCCAGAAGCCCCTGGAGGCGGAAGTCGTCACTCTCAGAAGGGACGGATGCGCATGCCGGGCTTCCCTCGGTAGGCGAGCCGCGGCGGCGGCGTCCAGGAGCAGGAGGACTCAGTGCTTTTCCGTCGTGGCACAGGCCAGGTGAGGTCGCAGCCAGCCCAGCCGCCCCGAGGGTGGTGAGGGAGCCCTCGTCCGGCCGCGGGGACCTGGCCCGCGAGCTCATGGTTGGCCAGTGGGCCGCGTGTTTCTTCGTCTCCGCCCACTTCGCTCTCTGAAAGCCCCTTCCTCAAACTCTTACCTCAAGCGGCTTGTTCGCACTCACGTCCTGGCGCCAAAACCCTGTTGCAACTTGATAACGCCTTGGCTTGTTTACCCCCTTCTCTGACCCGGGTGGTGGAAATGGGAGAAGACGGCAGGGACTGAGCCAGGACTGAAGCATTTGGATATATTGTAAAGATTTTGCACGTGGATTTGATAATAGAGATTTGAGAGAGGACAGTCAAGGGTTATTCCAGGGCTGTCCTCACATTTGAAAATACGAAGTTGAATATTGAGATGTACTGAGATGTAGAAGAGGAGGGCCACACGCCTTGGGTGAGGGTTTTTTTTTTGCTATAGGCTGTGTTTGCTCGCCAGAAAGACAGACAGAAAGCGAGAAATCACCCCCCGAGGGGATGGCCACACTGCAATCCCTTCTCCATTCTCCTCTCTGGATCTTGGGCATGCATGCACACGTGCCACTGCGTCTGGGACTCGAACCACAGTTGACTACATGGGAGTCCAGCCACACAGCGATAACGCCATCTGCTGGCCCCAACAGTGATAATTTTTATTATCTTTCTTAGTTTCTATGGGTTAAAAAATCTCTCCTGTGGTGGTATCCATATAGTTGGTAGGGCTACAGTTTCTGAGGATGGAGTAGCAGGGCATTTATTTCCTTCCTGTAGTCCAAGTTTCTCCATGTGGACTGGTTTGAATTTCCTTATATAATAGAGGACTCAGACAGGTGGACTGACCCTTTGTAATGTTTCTGCTCAATCCTTCCTTGTCCTCTAGCTTCAGACAACCACTGATCCATTTTAAAGTTTATTATAGGGTGCCTGTACTTGTGGGGTGCTGGGGGAGAAAGTGAGGAAGCACCTCTCCAAGAAGGATGACCATGCTACCACAGTCACTTTTCCATCCTCTTCTCAGGATTTTGGACATGCACACACACGCACTTTTTTTTTTTTGGAGAGTTTTTTGCTATAGGACATGTGTGTTCGCCAGAAAGAAATAGAAAGCGAGGAATTACCCCCCAGGGGGAATGGCCACTCCACAATCCCTTCTCCATTCTCCTCTTGGGATCTTGGGCACGCATGCACACACACCCCGCATGAGTGTAAGCCACCGGGTCCGGGAACCGCGGTCGGCTACGTGGGAGTCCAGGGACATAGCCATTATGCTAACTGCTGATCCTCTTTTTTTTTTTTTTAAGAGGTTTTTGCTATAGGCGCATGTGCTCGCCAGAAAGACATAGAGACAGAAAGCAAGAAATCACCCCCCAGAGGGGATGATTACTCCACAATTCCTTCTCTTCTATTCTCTCTGGATCTTGGGCACACACACATATGCACGGCGTGAGTTTTAAGCCACTGGGTCCAGGACGCGAACTGCGGTCGACTACATGGGAGTCCGGCGACATAGCCATTACGCTAACTGCTGGTCCCCACACAAGCACCTTTATTTTATTATTTTTTAAATTATTTATTGTAATTTAAGTATTTTCTCTATAAAAAATTTGCTATAGAGCAAGTGAGTTCACCAGAGAGAGAAACTGAGAAAGCAAGCCACAAGTCTAGGACTTAAACCTTGGTCAGCCATGTGAGAGTCCAGCACCTTAACCACCATGCCACCTGCCAGCTCCTCCCCCCCCCAGCATATTTTTCAAGCCACTGGGTCTGGGGCTTGAACCGCATGGTCAGACATGTGGGATTCAGCCACCTTAACCACCAGGCTAGATGTATTTGTAAACGTTTTAAGAATTCTTTGAAGGACCAGCAGTTGGCGTGATGGCTGTGTTGCTGAACTCTAATGTAGTCGACTGCGGTTCGAGTCCCAGACCTGGTGGCTTAAACTTATGCCCAAGATCCCGAGAGGAGAATGGAGAAGGGATTGCGACATGGACAGCACCCCTGGGGTGGGGTGATTTCTTGCTTTCTGCCTCTCTCTGTCTTTCAGGCGAGTGCACACACCCTATAGCACAAACTTCTTTAAAAAATTATTTGACTTGTCCGAACACAGTATGATTTTTTAAATATATATATATATATATATGGACGCGCACACGTGTGTGTGTGTGTGTGTGTGTGTATGTGTGTGTTTTCTGTGGGCAACTGTCTGTGGTCAGAAAGTCAAGCTGATAACCAGACTTTTTGTCACTGTGCCAAACTAAGCCTGATCTTAGGAAAGACTGAAATGTGGGTTATCCTAGAATCAGTCTGTTCAGTGAACAGGGATTTACAGTGTGATGTATTTACTTGATGGCATTCCTCTTAGAACATTTAAGTACGTCCGGGTTTGGGGAAAAGACACTAGTCTCTAAGCAGTGATATAGCCTTATTTAGGATCTAAAATAACTATTTTCATAGGACCAGCAGTTGGCGTAATGGCTATGTTGCTGAACCCCCACATAACTGCTGCTCAAGTCCTGGACTCGGTGGCTTAAACTCATGCTGGGCATGTGCGCGTGCGTGCCCAAGGTCCCCAGAGGAGAATGGAGGAGAAGGGATTGCGGCGTGGCCATCCCCCCGGATGGTAATTTCCCACTTTCTGTCTCTCTGTCTGTCTGTATCTTTCTGGCGAGCACACTTGCCCTATACCAAAAACCTCTCCAAAAAAATATAAAACAACCTTCAGTGTAATTTGGTTAGGTCTAGACTAAGATGTTACATGTCTAACATGTTTTTGATGAAACCTATCTGAACACAAATTTTTTTATTTCTTACCCTTCCCAGAGTGATGATTCCGATATTTGGGACGATACAGCATTGATAAAAGCTTATGATAAAGCTGTGGCTTCATTTAAGGTATGGAATGCTAACTTTCCCCCTTATTTTCTCATTCATTTGAAAAAATAATTAATTGGTAACATACATAAAGTATTGAAGTGATTATTCAGTTTGTTTTTGTTTCCCTCACATTGCTTGTGCTCACCAAAGAAAGGGATAGAGAGACAGAGAGAGGGAGAGGTAGAAAGCACCCTCCAATGGGATGTGGTCGCACTGTAGTCCCTTCTACATTTCTCCATCCCGTCAGGATTTTGGACACACGTGTGTATGTACAAAGGGGCTGGGATTCAAACTACAGCAATGTGAGATCCACTTCCTTAACCTCTAGGCCATGGGACCATCCAGCCTTTGTATTTTATTTTGAAGATTAAATGATAATATATATTACTTAAATGAGATTTTTTTTTAGAAGTTGATAACCCATCTATATGTTAATCTTTTTGCTTGTACATTTTTTTTTTTTTTAAGGTTTTGGCCATAGGGTACATACCCTCAACAGAGAGAGACAGGAGACAGTGAGTGGGAAAGTGAGAAATCATCCTCCTGGGAGGATGACCACACTGTAATCCCTTCTCCTCCATTTTCCTCTCAGGATTTTGGGCACACACACACGCCTGCCCGGAGTGATTTTCAAGCTGCTAAATCCAGGATTTAAACCGTGGTCAGCCATGTGGGAGTCCAGTGCCTTAACTATCACACCACCTGCTGGCTCTTTGTATATGCAGTTTTTATTTTTATTTATTTACTTTTTTTTTTTTTTTTAGGTTTTTGCCATAGTTTGTGTGGACTTGCTAGAGACTGAGACAGTGAGAGGGAAAGTGAGAAATCAAGCTCCAGGTTAGATGGTCATACCACAATCCCTTTCCCTCCATTCTTCTGGGATTTGGGCCATACGTGCACACATGTTTGGCATGATTTTCAAATCGGCAGGTCTGGGACTCTGTGGTTGCCCATGTGAGAGTCCAGCTTCTTAACCAGTATACCACCTACTGGCCCCAACATATGCTTTTTTTTTTTTTTTTTTTTTTTTTTTTTTTTTTTGGAAGAAAGATTTTTTTTAATGCGAAGAAAGATTTTTGTTACAGGGTGCATGTGCTGTCTAGAGAGAGGAAGATTCTCCCCTCAGGATTTTGGGTTTGCATGCACACGCCCAGCATGAGTTTTAAGCCACTCGGTCTGGGTCTCAAACCACGGTCAACTACATGGGAGTCCAGCTACATAACCATTATGGCAGCTACTGGTCTCAACATAATGCAATTTTTGAAAAAGTTTATTTATTTCTTCCTGAGTGAGGAAGAGATATAGCACTCTCAAAAGGATCTTGATACTGTGATCCATCTACAGCTTCAGCCAGCCCCAGATCATGGGGAAGCATGTCTACTATATCCAGGAAGGTCTCTAGTCTCAAATCAGAACCTTCTTATTAATACTTGGAACTGCTTTGCAGATCATTATATTTTAGACATTTACCTCCTTTGGTGAAATGATGTAGGAAAAGAACTGATTTGGAGAAAATATGGTTTAGTTTTAGTCTTGTTGAAATTGAGGTACATGTGAAGATGTGAAATTGGTTATTGGAAATATTGGATTAAACTAAAGAGAAACCTTAGGTAGATAATGGCTTTGGAAGTCTGTTTACGTGGAAGTTGTAAATGAAGTAATAGGAATAGATGGCCTTAAGCAGATAAAGAATAGCTGGTTCTTACCAGGAATGCTTAAGTATACAACTTGAACAGAGAGGTAATAACAGCATTGGGACCCTGCATTGCTCTGTCATCCAAGGTGTCGTGAGTATCAAAAGGGATCAACAGTGTTTGGTGAGAGTAAGGAGACTTGATTACAAGTGTCATTAGAGCTGATAATCAGAATCCTGGTACCTTTTAGAGCACTGTCTTTAGCTTGGAGGTAGGCAGTCACTATGCTGTGACTTTTTACTGTGTCATTCTGTAACGTACATTTCTATTCCTATTTTTGTAGCATGCTCTAAAGAATGGTGACATTTGTGAAACGTCAGATAAACCAAAAGGCATGCCTAAAAGAAAACCTGCTAAGAAGAATAAATGCCAGAAGAAGAATACCACAACTCCCTTGAAAAAGGTTATTTTAAAATATTCTGAGATCTAACTACAAAAGATTTGTTACTGTCCTTACTGAATAGTGTGAAGTATCTTTATCTGAAATTATTAGTATAGTGTTTTATATTGATATGAAATTATAAAACTTCTGAAACTGCTTTTAAACTTCCTATTGTTTAGGAGGAGCAGGCACATCGGTAATAAAAGTATAAGGCGGGGGGAGGGGGTAGCAGATGTCATAGCAGTTACATTGCTAGACTCCCACATGGTTAACTGCGGTACGAGTCCCAAACCTAGTAGCTTAAAACTCACACTGGGCATGTGTGCCCAAGATCTCAGGAGGAGAAGGGATTGCAGCATGGCCATCTCCCCGGGGGTAATTTCTCACTTTACCTCTCACTATCTCTTTCTCGCTGAGTGTAAATGCCCTATGGCAAAATCTCTTTTAGAAAAAAAAAAAAGGTATAAGGGGATCCAGCAGGTGGCGTGGAGGTTAAGGTGGCTTAGACCCTCATATAAGGAATTATGTGGGAATACTGAATGTTAAAATTAGGACAGGTATACTTGGTGAGTGGAAGAAGGAAGACAGTGCTATACGGAAGGATACTTGAGGGGTTCAAACTGGATTGGCAGTGGGTTTTTTTTTTTTTCTCCCCATACAGTAGCAACTTTATTATGAACTTGACTTCACATAGTTAGAATAGCAATTTCCCTTAAAATTGACCTAAAAAAAGTTTATATATCACAGTGTAAGTATAGACTACCTGAAATTCCAGAAGATACTTAAACAGGTAACAGATAACTGCTACTTACCTTTGGACAGAAAGAATAGCAACATTACTGAAAAAGGCACCCAGACAGGTAGGTGCCATCTGTTCTGGTGTCTTCGGGAGGAGAGGAAGTCATGACATGGGCATTGTTGATGCAGTGACTCATGAATAGTTGTTCCTATTAACACTGCTAACATGAGGCCCGCATTTTTTGCTTGGTGGGTAAGCTGATGACTGTTGCTCTTTTGTTCCTTGAGCACTACCTCTCAAGGTACTGGCATCACCCCATTCATTCCGAAAGGCATCAGAGATGGAACTACCAGCCTCTTCACAGAGCAAGCCACCTGAAATTTATAGATGGTATCCAACGCTGGCCAATAACTGATCTCAGATAATATGACATGATCCTTCCCTTCAAACACAATTTTTTTGATCCCACAATAAATGATCGAATAAGGAAGCTCATAGTTGACTAACAGCATCCTTGTTACAGGACAGTTATTTCCTGTATTATACCTGGGGGTGTATGTCACTAATTCCAGCTTCCATGTCATTATCAAAAGGCTTTTTTTTTATTCTGACTACCAATCAATCATCAGAACATGTTGAAGTCACTGCTGATTCAAAGTCCAGAAGAATTTCAAAACAAATAAAGGAGGAAGGACCCGCCTAAAAGCACAGAGGCCTTCATCATGCCAGACTCTGTGACACAACACACAGAGAACAGGAAAATTGGCAGTGTTTTTGTTTGTTTTTTTTTAAGAATTATTTATTTTATTTATTTCCATTTGTTATTGTTAATTTTTTTTCTTTATTTGACGAGAGAGAGAAAGGGAAAGTGAGAAAGCAAGTCACCAGGTCCAGGACTTGAACCACGTTTGGCCATGTGGGAATCCAGCGCCCTTATCCACCACACCACCTGCTGGCCCCAAATTGGCAGTGTTTTACTGTTGTTTTGTTTTGTTTTGTTAGTGGGTGCATTAACTTGCCAGAGAGGAGAGAGGGGAGAAGGCACCCTCCATGGGAAGAATGGTCATGCTGCAGCTCCTTCTCCCATCTTTCCTTCCTTTTTAAGGTTTTGGGCACACACACACATAACACGAGCCCAATGTGTTTCTCAAGCTGCTGGGTCTGGGATTTGGAATCATGTGGTTGGCCATGTGAGATCCAGCTGCCTTAACCACCAGGCCATGGAGCTGGCCCTGTTTTTTTTGTTGTTGTTTTAATTTAATTTAATATTATTTATTATTAAATTTGACCGGAGAAAGAAAGCAAATCACCAAGTCTAGGACCTGAACTGTATGGGAGTCATATGGGAGTCTAGTGCCTTAACCACTGTGCCACTGCTGTCCCACTGGCCTTGTTTTACTTCTTTTTTGGGGGAGAGATTTTTGCTATAGGGTGTGTGTACTCCTGGGAGAGACAGAGAAGAAGCAAGAAATCCCCCCACCCTACCCCGGGGAGATAGCCATGCTGCAATCCCTTCTCCTCCATTCAGTCCTTTCTCCTTCATTCTCCTCTTGGGATTCTGGGTGTGCACATGAGCCCAGCATGTATTTTAAGCTGCCAAGTCTGGGATTCGAACTCTAGTCAACTATGTGGGAGCCCAACAATGTAACCATTATGCCATCTGCTGGTTCTTCCTGTTTTACTTCTTAAGCTGAAAGATGGGTATCTATTTTCTTTCTTCAAAAACTTGAAAGATGCTAATTCTAAGGAACCAGAAATTCTGAGTAGTCATTTCTACTAGTTAAGAATAGTAGACCTAGAAGCTAAATATTTTGGTATCTCATTAGTTGATTTTCATTTTATCATCACTAAGGGAGGAGAGGGCATTGATGAAGGCTTATTCTGTGCCTGACCAGAGTAGTGGACACTGTATGTTCTTTGCTTTCCTCTGTTCTTCACAACAAATATGGGAGATAGATTATATTAATAGATGGGGGGAAATATGGCTCAAATGGATTCAGAAATAATCCATGATTTTGTAAATGGGAGATTTTTTTAAATGAGAGAGCAGTGTAATTCCCATTTATATGTTTTTGACCTTAAGCCTTTTCAATATATTATTTTATTTTTCAAGTCAATTAATTGACTACTTCTACTCCCCATCCTGGTAAGATTATGGTTTGCCCTGTTTAAAAGAAATAGATGTTTAATTTTTTGCTTTAACATTATGAGAGATTTATGAGATTTTAGTCTTACTGTGTTGGGGCCCTCCTGCCCCATGTCTCAGCTAGCTAGTATTACAGACATGTGCCTTCATACCTAGCCAGTTTAGGTTGGACCGTGAACCCAACTTGGGCTTCTCATGTGGCCCCGTACTCTCAGAAGCACAGCCTTAGTGGTGTACAACACGACTGAGCCTTTGTGTGTGTACCTTTGATTTCTTTTGTAGTGGAAAGTTGGTGACAAATGTTCTGCTGTTTGGTCAGAAGATGGCTGCATTTACCCAGCTACCATTGCTTCAATTGATTTTAAAAGAGAAACCTGTGTTGTAGTTTATACCGGATATGGAAATAAAGAGGAACAAAATCTGTCTGATCTACTCTCACCAGTCTCTGAAGTAGTTAATAATATACAGCAGAATGCTCAAGAGGTAAGTATACAAAAAACTTTGATTTCAGGAACCAGACTAGATGAGAAACTTAATTAGTATCACTAGTTGTCATTTTGACTCACTGAGGCAGTATGTGGGTTTTCTTGTGTGTGTGTGTGTGGGGGGGGGTTGGCATTATGTTTTTCTTCATGACACCTTCATAACAAAACCAAATATTTTTCTTATTTTTAAAGAATGAAAATGAAAGTCAAGTTTCAACAGATGAAAGTGAGAACTCCTCCACATCTCCTGGAAACAAACCAAGTAACACCAAGTCAAAAGCTACTCCATGGAATTCTTTTCTCCCTCCACCACCCCCTATGCCAGGGTCAGGACTGGGACCAGGAAAGGTAAACCTCCTATTGGTCAGAAGATGGCTGCATTTACCCAGCTACCATTGCTTCAATTGATTTTAAAAGAGAAACCTGTGTTGTAGTTTATACCGGATATGGAAATAAAGAGGAACAAAATCTGTCTGATCTACTCTCACCAGTCTCTGAAGTAGTTAATAATATACAGCAGAATGCTCAAGAGGTAAGTATACAAAAAACTTTGATTTCAGGAACCAGACTAGATGAGAAACTTAATTAGTATCACTAGTTGTCATTTTGACTCACTGAGGCAGTATGTGGGTTTTCTTGTGTGTGTGTGTGTGGGGGGGGGTTGGCATTATGTTTTTCTTCATGACACCTTCATAACAAAACCAAATATTTTTCTTATTTTTAAAGAATGAAAATGAAAGTCAAGTTTCAACAGATGAAAGTGAGAACTCCTCCACATCTCCTGGAAACAAACCAAGTAACACCAAGTCAAAAGCTACTCCATGGAATTCTTTTCTCCCTCCACCACCCCCTATGCCAGGGTCAGGACTGGGACCAGGAAAGGTAAACCTCCTACCCAGAAAGGTTTTCCAGAAAATAGTTAATATTGGGACATTTAACCCTCCATTAATTGGTTTATAACTTTCCCATGAAACTTTTGAAGATTGATTGATTGATTCAGAGGTTTTTGTTATAGGGCACTTGTGCTTGCCAGAAAGACAAAGACAGAAAGTGAGAAATCACCCCATGGAGGGATGTCCATGCTGCAATCCCTTCTCTTCTCAGGATCTTGGGCATGCACGCACATGCGCCTGGCATGAGTTTAAGCCACCAGGCCCAGAACTTGAACCATGGTTGACTACATGGGAGTCCAGCAACTTAGCCATTACGCCAACTGCTGGTCCCTTGAAGTTCTATTTAGATATTCAAAGCACATAGTCGAAATTGCTTTGAATAGGATATAAGATAGCAATGCAGTGTGATAAAGGCTACTCAGCTACATTTGTATGGACATTAGTTATTAGACTAATACTTTAGCAGACTTGCATAGGTAAGAAAGTATAATACGTGGGGCCAGCAGATGGCATGGTGGTTAAGGGCGCTGGACTCCCACATGGCCAACGATGGTTCGAGTCCCCACCCTGGCAGCTTGCTTTCTCACTTTCCCTCTCTCTCACGCTCTCACTCTTGTTCTCTCACTCTGGTCAAGTTAAAATAAGTACATAAATAAAGTTGAATAAGATGATTTTTTTTTTTTAAACAAAAGTATAATACCTTATGATCTGTTGGGTGATATGCTATAGTTTTCTGTTTCACCTGTTAAGATGCATTAAAAAAGAGTAAATTTTTTTTAACTTGTCATGGAGTATTTGTACTCACTGGAGTGAGACAGGGTTGGGGAGATTACGAAAGCACCCCGCAGGAGGGATGGCCATGCCGTAATTTCTTTTCCTTCATTCTCCTCTTGGAATTTTTTGGCACATGCACACGCATCCAGCGTGTTTTTCAAGCTGCTAGGTTCAGGACTCGAACTGTGTGTTCAGCCATATGGGATCCACCTGCCTTAACGACCATGCCAATACACTGTTACCTTCAGGGGCTGATTTTTTTTTTTTTTTTTTTTTTTTTTTTTGGAGAAGTTTTTTTTACTGTAGGGCACGTACGCTCGCCAGAAAGACAAAGAAAGAGAGACAGAAAGTGAGAAATCACCCCCTGGGAGGATGGCCACGCTGCAGTCCCTTCTCCATTCTTTTGGGATCTTGGGCACACATGCACTCGTGCCTGGCGTGAGTTTTAAGCCACCGGGTCCAGGACTCGAACCGTGGTCGACTACATGGGAGTCCAGCAACATAGCCATTACACCAAATGCTGGTCCCATTATTATTTTTTTTTTTTATTAACTAGACTTAAACATTTTTTTAGAGATTTTTGCTATAGAGAGAGACAGAAAATGAGACCCCCCCCCCCAGGGGAGATGACCACACCACAATCCCTTTTCCTCCATTTTCCTCTTGATATTTTGGGCACACATGCATATGCACCTGGTGTGAGTTTCAAGTTGCCGAGTCTGGGACTCAAACTGCAGTTGATCATGTGGGACTTCATTATACCACCTGCTGGTCCCCAGGGGCTGATTTTTATTAGGTCAGAAGTTCACTAATTTTCACAGTATGTGCTCTAAGTTAGCATACATAGCTAAAAGGGCTTTTATGTAAAGATGATACAGTTTAGTTAGTGAAAATGAAAACTGATTAGGTAATTACATCATCCTTATTCTGGTATAACCTCCTGAATGTCTACAAAGAAAGCAAATGAGGAAAATATGAAGGTTGTTAATTTGACATATGAGTCTATTTGACTTTAAATTTTGGTCCATGAAGTTTAATCGTTGTTTTCCTCCTTTGGAGAGGTTTTTGCTATAAGGTGCGTGCGCTCGCCAGAAAGACAGAGAGACAGAAAGTGAGAAATCACCCCCCAGGGGGATGGCCATGCCGTAATCCCTTCTGCTCCATTCTCCTCTCGGGATCTTGGGCACGCACACACACGCACTCAGTGTGAGTTTAAGCCACCTGGTCCAGGACTCAAACCGCAGTCAACTACATGGGAGTCCAGCAACATAGCCATTACGCCAGCTGCTGGTCCCAGTTTAATTTAATCTTTAACTTTATTTATTTTTAATTTAACGGGAGACGGAGAGGGGTAGAGAGAGTCAGAGAGAGAGAAAGTTAGAAAACAAGCTACCAGGTCCAGCCGTTATGCTAACTGCTGGTCCCAACGTTTTTATTTATTTACTTATTTTAACTTGACCAGAAAGGAACAGAGCGGGGGGCGGGGAGCTGCGGGTGAGAATGCAAGCCATCAGGTCTGGGACCTGAATTGTGGTCAGCCATGTGTGGGAGTCCTGGGCCCTTAATCACCACATCATCTGCTGCCCCCTAGGTAGTTATTTTTGTAATTTTGGTATTGAATCATTTTTCTTCCTTTTATATTGAAAATACTAAATTAATTTTCCTTTGAAATAATTAATTTTTGTAGCCAGGTCTAAAATTCAGTGGTCCACCACCACCACCTCCTCCTCCTCCCAACTTCCTGTCATGTTGGCTGCCTCCATTTCCTTCTGGACCACCAGTAAGTACAAACTAATTCAGTATAGTGGTTTTTATATAGTTTGATATTTAGCCAAATATAAATATTCCCCCCCAGTGGGGAAAATGTCCTCTGAGACCATCTGTATGGCCAGATTATTAGGGGTAAGAATGTAAACCTATGTTTTTGTTTGTTTTTAATTTTTTTTTTAAGATTTATTTATTTTTAATTATACTTATTATCATTATTCTTCAATTTTAACCATAGACAGACAGAGAGAAAGGGAGAGTGAGAAAGCAAGCTGCCAGGCCCGGGACTTAAACCGTGGTTGTTGACCATATGGGAATCCAGCACCTCAACCACCACACAACCTGCCAACCCTTGTTTTTTGTTTGTTTTAATGGCAGGAAAGCATGTATGTTCTCCAGACAGGGAAAAATCACCTCAATGAGGCATAGTCCTGCTGCAAATCTTTTCCACCTCTGCATCCTGTTGGGATTTTGGGAACGTACATAGAACTGTCCAGTGTGTTTTTCAAGCTACCAGAGCTTGGATTTGAACTGGGGTTAGCCATGTGGAAATCCAGCTCCCTGCAGCCAGCTATGGGTTTTTATTTTTATTTATTTACTTATTTTTGCTTTTGCTTTTTACATATTTGTATTTCATGCATTGTTATACTTGCTCAATGGGAGCATTAAAAAATTAATACTGACTGAAGTTGTACTGTCTAATGTCTAGTAGTTCTAATTTTATAAAACTGTACCCATTTGACCCTGAGAAGTTTTGTATCTGTTACAATTGTGTCTGCACCTTATGGGGACTATTTGATCTGGATCATTATTGCTATTGGTGGGTGCTCAAGTGCCAGGTTGGAAGAAATGAGCTCCTGCTCACTGTCACCTCCCCTCTTACGTAAGGTTCCCATCTCTAGAACATGAAGATTTGCGCATGGGAGTGATTCAAATTTGCCGTCTTTGAATGTGGCACTTGTATTTTGACTTCCGATGTATTAGAACAACTGACAACTGCTCAGAAAGAAACTTGTTTACCTTTAAAACTACACTGGGGGGAACCAGCAGTTAGCGTAATGGTTATGTCGCAGGACTCCCATATAGTTGACCACGGTTCGCGTCCTGGACCCAGTGGCTTAGAATTCACACCGGGAGCATGTGCGTGCGTGCCCAAGATCCCGAGAGGAGAATGGAGGAGAAGGGATTGTGGCGTGACCATCCCCCCTGGGGGGTGATTTCTCACTTTCTGTCTCTATGTCTCCCTCTGTCTGGCGAGCGCACGCGCCCTATAGCGAAAACCTCAAAAAAAAAAAAAAAAAAACCACACTGGGAATGTTTTTTTTCATGAAAATTTGTTTTAAACTCTAGTTTTTTTCCTATACCCAGAACAGGTAGATCCCCCCCCCCTTTTTTTTGGACTTACAGCATATAAAATATATGATTTAGCATTCAAAGTATAAAACAACTCCTTTGAAGACAACTAGTCCATGAATACTCAGAACCATCCTGTGGAAAACAATTTAAACTTTTTTAAGATGACATGATTTCAGTCTGTAATCCTAACAATGAAGATGGCACCGTGACCTGTTTTTGGCTTGGGTTTTTGTCCTTCTGTTTCCAGATGCAGAACTGTCTTGGCTCTAGCTCTGAGCTTTGTTTTGGGTGCTTCGTTCCTGGCAGAGGTTGATATCTAGTCTATTTGGAAATAGTTTCCATTAGAAAGGATTTGATTATACCATAGGGATCAATTTTTTTTTAAAGAGAGAGAGGTTTATTTTTTTTAAGAATTTATTTAATTTTATTTATTATCATTATTATTATTATTTTTAAATTTGACCAGAGAGAAAGAGAGGGAATGTGGAAAAGCAAGCTGCCAAGTCTGGGACTTGAACCATGGTTGACCAGTGCCTCAACCACCACTCTACCTGCCTGCCCCACAAGAGAGAGAGATTTGCTATAGGGTATGTGTGCTTGCTGGAGAGACAGAGACAGAAAGACAGAAAGCGAGATATCACCCCCAGTGGGATGGCCATGCTGCAATTCCTTCTTCTCCATTTTCCTCTTGGGATTTTGGGCATGCACACACACGCGCCCGGCATGAGTTTAAACTGTCAGGTCCCAGACTTGAACCATAGTCAACTACATGGGGGTGGGAGTCCAGCAATGTAACCATTATGCCATCTACAGGTCCCAAGGGATTAATGTTTTGCCCTTTCAGTTATTTTTGGATACTACTTTCTGATTGTGTAAACTGGATTTTTAATGGTAGATTTTTAGGTATTGTTAATAATATAGAAATATTTTCTGACAGTGTTGGGGTGGGGATAGGGTAGATGGTCTATGTAAAACGTTTACTTAAAATGGTTCTTGAAATGCTGTGTGTGTAGTTACTATTTCATATCACCTGTTGTCTTGATTATTGTTCAAGTTAATTTTGTTCTTTTGTTGTTATTGGTTGGCTTTCTCCAAATGTTAGACTTTTTAAAAAATGTAAATAGAAGATGATGTGGAATACAGAACAGATACAATATCCAGCATTTTCTATGTAAAATAAATCTCACATTTTGTTTACTGAATTTAAAAGCTATTTCTTTCTATTTCCAGATAATTCCCCCACCACCTCCCATATGTCCAGATTCCCTTGATGATTCCGATGCTTTGGGAAGTATGTTAATATCTTGGTACATGAGTGGCTATCATACTGGCTATTATATGGTAAGTAATCACTTAGCATCGTTTTTTGACAATTTCTCTCTACTTAAGGTGATTAAAAAGTGGTTTATTGTGTAGGTACCAAGGGTAGAAAACTACCTTAAACTTTAAAAAATATAGGGTTAACCTGTAGCATAGCACTTAGGTTCTGAGTAGAGGAAGCTGGGACCCATGTGGCTAACCAGGGCTTGAATCCTAGCCACAGTGGCTTGAAAATCATGCCAGGTATATGGTTATGCTCAGGATTCTGAGGGAATGGAGAATTGGAAGAAAACAGATTGTTGTACGACCAGGCTTCATAAGGGATCGTGCACACATATTTTCTCTCTTGTGTGCATGCATATTCTCTCTCTTTCTTTCTCTCTTCTCTCATGTGTACACACTCCCCCTGGCTTAAAAAAATATTTTAAAAATACAGGTTTTGGGCCAGCTTTGCTGACTGGTGGTTAAGGCAGCCAGATCCCATAGAGTGTGTTTGACAGAGATAGAGACAGAAAGTGAGAAATCACCCCCCCAGGGGGATGGCCACACTGGCAATCCCTTCTCCTCCATTCTTCTCTCAGGATCTTGGGCACATACACATAACGTGCCCAACGTGAGTTTAAGCCACCGGGTCCAGGACTCGAACCGTGGGTCAACCATATGGGAGTCCAGCGACATAGCCATTATGCTAACTGCTGGTCCCTCTGGTCACTGTATATTTTATTTAATGAAAATAAGGTATAAGTTTGCTCAAACATCATTAGACTTAGTGAATGAAGAAAAACTACTTAACTATAGCTTAATTGTTTACTTTGGGATCCCTTTCAAAGTATATTGGGGGGACCAGCAGGTGGTGGAATGGTATGTGGCTGGACTTTCACATAGTTGACTGTGGTTCAAGTCCCAGACCCGGTGGCTTAAAACTCATCCTGTGTGCGTGTTTAACTAAAGTCCTGAGGGGAGACTGGAAAAGGGATTGCAGCGTGGCCTTCCCTTGGGAGTAATTTCTTACCTTCTGTCTCTTCAGCAAGTATATGTGCCCTATAGCAAAAATCTAAGAGAAAAAAAATTATAAAAAAAGCATATTGGAAGGCTGTAAACTTACTCTGTGATGGGTATTTTCTCAAATAAAATAGGTAAAATGTCTCATGAGAAACAAAATGTTTATTAACATATGTCATCTCAAAGTTCATGGGAAATGAATATTATGAAAATTATGCATGAATTTTAAAATTTTTGCATCAAAATTAACTTAAAATTTCAATTTTCTGTGAATTTTCTGATCTCCTTGTATAAAATATGTATATTATCCTTTAAACTTCCTTTCTTTTCCTTACAGGGTTTCAAACAAAATCAAAAAGAAGGAAGGTGTTCACATTTCAGTTAAGGAGTAAGTCTGCCTTCACTATGAAATTGAATCTCATTTTTGTATAAATTTTATGATTTGTGGAGAACAGATGTTTTTGAACATTTAATAAATGAAATGTTAAAAAGTTGAAAAGTTAATACAAACCATATTAAAGACTGTTAAAGAGGCCAAAACTGTTAGATAAAAGATCTGCTTCCCTACTAGAATTCTTGCTGGTTGGCTGTGTGAATAAAAAACATTTTTATAATAGATTCTTAGGATCTGATTTCACTCTGCATCACTAGTATTCACAGACAGCCATGTGTACTTTTTGTTTTATGATGCAGTATGAAGTACTGTGTTCAGATAAAAAAAGTTTACCTGGAATTTAGTCAGTTTAGGTTTAATTCCCTATTTGCAAGATGTGCTGGATGGAGATAGAGCAACAAGTTAAATGACACCACTAAAGGAACAATCAGGTCCCAAATGTGGAATGTTGTAGATGATAACTAGCCTTATTTCTTCAAAATATCAGTGTCAGGGGGAAAAACAGGATGGGTGTAACTATTCTAGATTAAAAGTTACTTGACAGATATAATAGCCAAATGCAATGAGTGATTCTTGATTGGATCCTGGTTTGAAAAGCTATTTGTAGAAGAAGGGGGGGCATTAAGGAAATTGTGGACAAGATTTTAAACAGACAATTTTTCTAATTATATGAGCTGTGATAAAGGTATTGTAGTTTATAGGGAAAATGTGATATAATTTGCATTTGGGAGTGAAATAAAACCATTTTAAAATTTGTGAGTGAACAGCATGTATTGGCACAATGTTAATGAACCTAATGTGTGTGTATATATATATGTGTACTCATTGAACTACTTTTTTCTATATGTTGAAAGTATAATAAAATACTTAATTTTTTTAAAAAAATTGAAATTGTGTGTCATCGAATTCCTCTTTTATGTATATAACTTACACTTTTGGCCTGTATTCATCTATGTTTTGATATGAATGCCAGTGTAGCTTTTTTTTTTTTTTTTTTTTTGGGGAGGTTGCTATAGGGAGTGTGTGCTCGCCAGACAGAGACAGACAGACAGACAGAAAGAGAGAAATCACCCCCAAGGGGGGATGGCCACGACACAATCCCTTCTCCATCCTCCTCTCGGGATCTTGGGCACATACGTACATGGGCCCGGCGCGAGTTTTAAGCCACCAGGTCCAGGACTCGAACCACAGTCAACTACATGGGAGTCCAGCGACATAGCCATTATGCTAACTGCTGGTCCCGCCAGCATAGCATTTTGTGTACCTGTGTGTGTATGTGTGTATATCGCCATATGTCATATTTTCCATATCTTTATTGTTCTGTCAGACTGCGTCTATCTATGCTACTGTTCCTTTAGCATGATAGTTTTTTTTTTAAATAATTATTTTATTTAACTTTATTCCTTATTATTATTTTCGAGTTTGATCGGAGAAAGACAGGGAGAAGGAAAGTAAAAAAGTAAGCCCCAAGGTTTGGGACTTGAACCACATTGGCCATGTGGGATTCCAGCGTCCTTAACCACCACACCACCTGCTGGCCCCCTAGCATAATAGTTTTTGCCATTCCTGATAACATCACAGTGAACATTTTTAAATGCATTAATTTGATTCTGTTCTGTCAGAGCCTTGTGATTGATTTCTATATTGTAACTATTTCATAAATTTTAATAGATGTTTTTATAATTGTTGGTATTAATAGATATTTCTGTGTTTTCTTGAAAAGCAAAATTTTCTTTGGAGAGAGATTTTTGGTATAGGGTATATGCCCTCATCAAAGAAACAGAGAGACAGAAATTGGGAAATCACCCTCTTAGAGGGATGGTCATGCTACAATCCCTTCTCTATTTTTCTCTTGGAATTTTGAGCACGCATACACATGCACTTGGTGTGAGTTTCAAGCCAGTGGGTCTGGGACTTGATCTGCAGCCAGCTATAGCCTTAACTGTTATGCCACCTGCTGGTTGCCCCAAAAAGCAGATTTTTGAAAATTTTATTTTCAGAATGGAAGATTTAGTCATAAAAGAGATTTTTTTTTTAATTATGTAAATTATCAGGACCAGCAGTTGGTGTAAAGGCTGTGTCACTGGACTCCCCATGTAGTTGACCGCGGTTTGAGTCCTGGACCCGGTGGCTTAAATTCACGCCAGCACGTGTGTAAGTGTGCCCAAGATCCTGAGAGAATGGAGGAGAAGGGATTGCGGCGTGGCCATCCCCTCTGGGGGTGTGATTTCTTGTTTTCTGTCTCTGTCTTTCTGGTGAGCACATATGCCCTATAGCAAAAACCTCTCCAAAAAAAAAAAAAAGAGAAATATATCAATTTGATGGGACTGCCAGATGGCATAATGGCTATGTCACTGGACTCCCACGTAGTTGACTGCAGTTTTGAGTCCCAGACCCGGTTGGCTTAAACTCACGCCAGGCATGTGTGCATGCATGCCCAAGACTCCAAGAGGAGAATCGAGGAGAAGGCATTGTGGCGTGGCCATCCCACCTGGGAGGTTGATTTCTCGCTTTCTGTCTCTCTGTCTCTGTTTTTCTGGCAAGCGCATGCGCCCTATAGCAAAAACCTCTCCAAAAGAAATATATCAGTTTGAGAAAACTTATTTAAATAGGCTATGTCATCTGAAGACTCACAGCTTGAGATTTTCTTATATGAACAGGTCCACCACTATTACTAGTCTAGAGTGGGAATCAACAAAGGGTTAGATAGTAACTATTTTTGGCCATTGTTTTCCAACCACTGGTCCAGGTGTTGCTATCTGTCTGTTTATATTCATTGTTTGATTGGTTTAATAATCATGAAATTACTTTGTCGTCTATTTTCTTCTCTTTTCTGTTATGGACAGAAAATGAAAAATTCTGAAATCTTGACTGTTTTCAAGGAATTATTTTTAATAATAAAAGACTATAAGGATATTGTCTTCAGGGACCAGCAGTTAGCATAATGGCTATGTCGCTGGACTCCCATGTAGTTGACTGCAGTTCAAGTCCCGGACCTGGTGGCTTAAAACTCACGCCGGGCGCATGTGTGTGTGTGCCCAAGATCCCAAGAGGAGAATGGAGGAGAAGGGATTGCGGCGTGGCCATCCCCCCTAGGGGGTGGTTTCTCACTTTCTGTCTCTGTCTGTCTGTGTCTGTCTGGTGAGTGCACGCGCCCTGTAGCAAAAAACCTCTCAAAAAAAAAAAAAAAGAATATTGTCTTCAGACTTCCATTAAAGCTTTTTGAAAGATAATGGCATTTACTTTGGTCAATAAAATAAAAAAACTGAAGGACTGGGAGGCCAGATGGTGGTATAGTGGTCAAATGTGACAACCTGTGAGGCTGAACCACACAAGAAAGCTCTTGGTTCATGTTAGGAAACTTACTGAGTATGCACACGTTCGTGGTCTGGGGCTGGCTGAGACAGAGGATCTCATGGCATCAAAACCATGTTGGGGGAACCAGCAGTTAGCGTAATGGCTATGTCGCTGGACTCCCACGTAGTCGACCATGGTTCGTGTCCCGGACCTGGTGGCTTAAAACTCACGCCGGGCACGTGTGCGTGCGTGCCCAAGATCCCGAGAGGAGAATGGAGGAGAAGGGATCGCGGCGTGACCATCCCCCCTGGGGGGTGATTTTTCGCTTTCTGTCTCTATGTCTCTGTCTGTCTGGCGAGTGCACACGCCCTACAGTGAAAATCTCTCCAAAAAAAAAAAAAAAAACCATGTTGGGTATGCTGTCTGCCTCTCTCACTAATGGAAGAAATAAGCAAGCTTAAAAAAATAAACGCTGAAGGCGTGATATACAGTGACTTTAAAAAAATAATTGCTATAGGCTCATGCATTCAGCAGAAATGAGGAAAGTGAGAAATCACCCCAGGAGGATAACCCTAATCCCTTCTTGTCCTTCTTTTCTTGGGATTTTTGAGCATGCATCCACACGCCCTTAACAATCAGATCTGGGACCTGGTCAGCTTTGTAGGATCCACCTGCCCTAACCTCTGTACTACCTGCTGGCCTCCGTAACAGTGACATTTTATTTAAATACATCATTGCTTTAGGTGATTCAATGTTCTTATTATTTTAGTCTTTTTTTTAAGCATAGTTGGAAATAATGGTGAGTTATTATCTATTGCTCTTACTGTTATCTATTGCTGTTACTATCATCTATTGTTACTATCTATTGTTGAATAACCCTAAAATTACCTAAAATCTTAATCACTACTACACCTACCTGGCCCCAAAACTTACTGTCTTAAAATAGTAAACAGGCCCAGCCATGGTGGCATAGGTAGTATACTGTGCTGGTTTTTCTTTTTAAAGAGAGTTTTTTCTATAGGGTGTGTGTGCTTGACAGAGAGACAGAAAGATACAGAGACTGAGAAAGTGAGAAATAACCTCCCACCCCCCCAGGGGGATGGCCACACTGGCAATCCTTTCTCCTCCATTCTCCTCTTAGGATTTTGGGCACGCACACATGCCCAGTGTGAGTGTTAAGCTGCCAGGTCCAAGGCTCGAACTGCAGTTGGCCATGTGGAAGTCCAGTGCCTTAACCACTATACCACCTGGTAGTCCCTTGTTGTGTGTTTTGTTTTGTTTTGTTTTGTTTTCACGGTTCAAGTTTTAATCAGCTCTGTGAAGGACATTCTAAACACTACATGAGACACAACAGAATATTCTTTTCTTCCAGTATTAAAAAGTGACATTCACAAACACTTTTAAGAAACTCTTCTATATAATCAGGGCCATGATTGTGTGTTTTAAAAAAAACTTCCAAGTAATAACGTTCTTGGTGCAGATTTCTTGAAAGGTACGTTGGGAAATCACTTCCTATCATTACATGATAAATATCATGTGTACAGCTTTTTAAAATATCCCTAGATATTTATTAATTTTAAAAGTCTGATCAAACTTTTTTTTAACCAGAATCCATAATCCTGAGAGCCCAAACTAAAGAAAAAAAATAAAAATATCCATTCTACAGATGTCTCAAAACTTGTCAGTAAAGTGGAGAAAAAAAATTTTAAACACATGGAGCTTTCTAAAAGGTTTTCAACAAGCTACCTTGGGAGCTCAATTCAAAAATAGACGTTGATGTGCTAAAACAGATGTTTCAGTGCAGCTCCAAAAATCTTTATAAATACAGCCATTTGGAAAGATAATCCTGGATCAGACGTGTTATTCCTTGGGTATCTACATTATGTGTGCATGCCTCATCTCTGTTGTCATCATTGTCTCTAATTTCCTCCTGAGTAGCGGTCATACCACCCTGGCTTCTGCTGCTATAGTCTCTGGACCTTCCATACCCATAACCATATCCTCCAGGTCAACTGTCATACCTCCCACTCCCATATCCCTGATCTCCACCACCTCTAGAGTAGCTATGACCACGAGCTCCAAAGGCACCCCCTCTGGTTCCCCAGGCACACTTGCCTGCATGGTCCACACGGATGTAGTGACCATCTAGAAACTCCATTCATGGCTTTCATGGCATCAGAGGCATGCTCTGGGTTGGTGAAGGTGATAAAGCCAAAACCCCAGGATCGTGAGTCTCCTGGTCCTTGATAACGACCACCTTAGAGATAGGCCTGAAGCTACTGAAGTGGTCCTCCAGTGCCTGCTCATCCATGTTGAAGTTGAGCCTCCCAGGAAGAACTTCCCTTCTTCAGAGGACATGATGGTGAATTTTGAGTCCTGAAAACTAAAAAGTAAAAGAAGGGACACAGAAAGCCCTGAAGAGCAAAGAGAACAGGCGGTTCCTAGTAGTGTATTATTTTAAGTACTGGAAGACATGTGGCATACTATGGGTTTTGACCCCAGGATGACCTGAAACAATTTTGGGACATATATGGGCCCAAGATCTCAACCAGCTGGAGGGCTGGGGGGAGGGGATCATGGTTTGATGAGACCCTGTCAAGGGTGTATGTCTCTTGTATGTTCTCTCTCATGAAAGAAAGAAAAAAAATTTTAATTGGGAAGATTGTTAAAAATAAAATTTGGAACCAGCAGGTGGAGTAATGTTTACATCACTGGACTCCTGCATAGTCAACCATGGTTCGAGTCCCAGATTTTGGTGGCTTAAAACACACCAGGCACGTGTATGTGTGCCCAAAATCCCAAGAGGAAAATGGAGAAGGGGTTGCAGAGTAGCCATTGCCCCCAGGGGGTGATTTCTCGCTTTCTGTCTGTCTCCCCAGCAAGTACACATGCTCTATAGCAAAAAATCTCTCTTAAATAAATAAATATTAAAGGACCAGCAGATAACATGGCATTACGTCACTGGACTCCCACAGGGCTGACTGCACTTGTGAGTTCCAGAGCAGATGACTTGAAACTCATGCTGGATGCATGTGCATGCATGCCCAAGATCCCAGGAGGAGAATAAAGAAGGGTTTGCAGCATGGCTCTCCTGCCTGGGGGGTGATTTCTCATTTCCCTCTGACTGTTTATGTCTCTCTCTGGCAAGTGCATGTGTCCTAGGGCAAAAACCTCTATAATAAATAAATAGCCTTTGGGGGCCAGCAGGTGGTGTAGTGGTTAAGGTGCTGGATTGCCACTTGACTGACACAGTTTGAGTTCCAGATCTGGTGGCTTGAAACTCACACTGGGCACATGTGCATGCATGCCCAAGGTCTCAAGAGAAGAATAGAGAAGAAAGAATTGCAGGCATTATTATTAGCTAGAGCAATAATCATCAAAGGGTTAGATAGTAAATATTTTGGGCCATAGTTTCCTAACTGCTGGTCTAGGTGTTGCTATCTGGCCATCTCCCCTTGGGATGATTTCTTGCTTTCTGTCTCTGCCTGTCTTTCTGGCGAGTCCATGTGCCCTATAGCAAATAATAGTAATAGTGATAATAAATAATAATAAAATTTTCATTAGTTCAATGTTTCTCTGGGTCAGGAGCTTACTTAGCTGGATATTCTGATGGCTTTAATGAGTCTGTAGTCAAGCTGTCAAATAGGGCTACTCAATCATCTCTTGGCTCTTTTGGGACTGGCTGATCTGCTTCCAAACTCACCATATGGTTGTTGGCAGGAAGCCCCAGTTCCTTGCCATGTAGGGCTCTCCATAGGTGGCCTTAGAGTCTTTGCATCATAGCAGCTGGCTTTCCCCAGAACAAGTTAATTCAAGAGAGAGAATGTAAGGCCCCACTTATATAATTTAGTCTCTGAATCACCCACCATTACTTTAACCTTCATCCTTTTTTTTTTTTTTTTTTTTAGGTTTTGCCATAGGGCATATCTGCTTGCCAGAGGAAAGGAAAGTGAGAAATCCCCCCCCCCCAGGGAGGACAGCCATACTGCAGTCCCTTCCCCTCCATTCTCCACTCATGATGTGGGGCACATATGCATATGTGCCTAGCATAAGTTTCAAGTCACTGGGTCTGGGACTTGAACCGTGGTCAGCCAGCCATCTGGGAGTACTGCACCTTAAACACCACTCCGCTGTTGACCCCTCTTTTCCTATTCTTTAGATTCAAGTCCACCCCACAGTCAATTGGAGGGGATCACACTAGAATGTGAATACCCAGAGGCACAGATCATTGGCTACCAAAATAAATAAAAGGAAGTCCTGAACGGACCAGCAGATGACATGATGGTTACATTGCTAGACTCCCATGTAGTCGACAGCAGTTCAAGTCCTGGACCCGAGGCTTAAAATTCATGATGGGCGTGTGTGCTTGCATACCCAAAATCACAAGAGAAGGATGGAGGAAAAGAGATTGCAGTGTGATCATCCCCTTTGGGGGATTATTTCTTGCTTTCTGTCTCCCACCAGCAAGCACACACGTCCTACAGCAAAAATCTCCCCCTAAAAATGTCCTGGGATGATGACTAATAAAATGTTTCAAGATACGGGATAATAAAATCATAAAATGCTATAAAATTGGTCCTTGAACAACATAGGTTTGAACTGTTCAAGGTCCATTTACGTGGATTTCTTTTTCAATACATGTATTAGAAAAATTTGGAGATTTGAAACAATTTGGAATAAACTTCACATTCTAGAGAAAAGTAAGGAAACTGAGATGCAGTACTTTAGTTATAACTGCAGAGAGTTAACTAATACTTACGGTACTACAGTAAAAACTTTGTAACCACATCCTCTTACTTTTAGGATGAGTTCAAGTGTTTTAAATTTTATTAAACACATGATTTTGATCATTCTTATTTTGCAATGTTTTAAGTTCTAGTAGGCTATATCAAATACTCGTACTCTTTCAAAATTTTTTGAAATAGTATTATATTGTCTCCATATCAGCATATTTTTATCCATTGTATCATTTTTTTCTTTTGGAGAGGTGTTTGCTATAGGGCATGTGTGTTTGCCAGAAAGACAGAGACAGACAGAGAGGCAGAAAGCAAGAAATCACCCCCCAGGGGGGATGGTCACACCGTAATCCCTTCTCCTCCATTCTCCTCTCGGGATCTTGGGCACGCACGCACACGCGCCCGGTGTGAGTTTTAAGCCACCAGGTCCGGGACACAAACCGCAGTCAACTACGTGGGAGTCCAGCAACATAGCCATTACACTAACTGCTGGTTCCCTGTTTGTTTGTTTTTAACAAACCTTACACATTTTATAAATAACTATTTGCATGGAATACTTAACAAAAAAATTTTTTGTTGATGATTAGGTTTTCAGAATTAGTGACAAAAAAATTTCTTGATTCAACAGTTTTTAGCTGAATCTTTTATTCCTGAATGATTGGAGAGAATGGAAGAACCCATTTCCAGTAAATAATTAAGTGTTTGGATTGAGGATGTCTTTCTTTCATTACATCAAGCAATGCGATGTCTTCTGCATCCAGGAGCCAACTGTACATGTGAAGTCGGATGAGGCTCGGCAGCCGTGACACACATTGGCTCAAAGACTTGATGGTTGAGGGCTGGACTTTGATGCAGTTCGTGAAATGTCTAGAGATACTCAACTCTTGCAAACATGGCAGATTGTCCAGTGCATGAAAGAAATTTCTGTATCCTTCCTCTGTAATCTTATCATTGACTGAAAGATTTAAGTTCGCAAGTTTCCGGAAACCTCCATTGATTGCTACTTTGGCTACAAAAATAGAACATTCACAATGATAGAATCATAAGAACTTTTCTTTTTTCATTTTAAGAGAGATTTTTGTGGGACCCGGAGGGGCCCTGCGCCAGCCCACCCGGCCCGGCTGCGGGCCCTGCCACCCCCGGGACCCACGCCCAGCCAGGCAG